TCCAACTGTGACGGTTAATAAGTCGATAGATTGCCTGTAGCCTATGCTATTCAGCACAGGCATATTTATTAGGTTAGCGCTAAGTTAGGCTCGTATTAAATTTTTTTTATTGTCCTACGAAGTCTATGACTGTGTGAGGACATGTAGGTCATTTCTGCTTATAGGCCGGCAGTATCTATGCCTCGGGTAGTGTACTCCATCCTATGCCTCCTTCACGACTTCTTTCCAGCAGTAATACCCCCACAGGTCTTCATTATAGTGCACACTAAAAGGAGCTATTATCCCGTTACTATCTCTTCTCTCCAGCTAATAAAACGATGGCCATCTGCGGGTGTGTAGTTGCTGAGAAAAGTCTCAAAAACCACTGGGTGCAGGGCTCTCCTATCACGAAGAGGCCCGCAAGCCGGGCGCAGCAGACCTAGGTATACCTGAGAGCGTTTCTCAACCTTCCTAGCATCCTCCTTCCTCCTTCCCTGATTCATGCCGCAGGACAAATCGTTGGTCGTGAAAGGATGTCAGAAAAGTCTTGGTCGAGAGTGACAGTCGCGAAGGAGCCTAGCCTAGCATCCAAAAGTCGTTACGGACGTGGGGTTGTCGAGTAACTCATGTATTTCAGATGCCCTCCTGGCTAGTAGATTCGGAAGTTAAGATTAGTAGGGACGATATCGTAGACGAGTCGAAATCTGCTTTTCTTGATGTCGGATGGGTCTTTTACTTTGCTTTCGTGGGCTTTTTGTTCGCCCGCCGGTGGGTAGCACATGTTGTGATGTAACAAGGGCTTCTCTGACTACCGTTGTAGCGTTTGGTGCCGCATTATCTTTCCTCATTCCCAGCATTATTATCGTCGTCTTTGTCGTCTTATGTGTTATCGGAAGCGTATCTTTGACAGAGGAGGAGATAACTCAGCTCAAAGTTGAAAAGGTGTTACTCAATCTTGGCTCTGCAGACTCTACAGTGAGAGCTGGAGGTTCGTAGGGGACACCACTGACAGGTGCTGGGAATAGTCCCCCTAGGCTCGTATTGATAGTCTGGAACTGTCCATGCATGAAACATCGTTGGTAACTAGCCCGCACCTGGATAATGGGAGCCCGAGTGGAGGACAGCTACTAGTGTTCAGAATGTTAGGGTCATGTATGTGAATAGGGCATTGGATGTAGCAGTAGTTTTGTTCCACAGTTAATAAATTACCTTGACGTACAAACGCCCAAGCTTTCTATATCGAAACCGTTATACCAACCATGATTTAGGATCCGCTGTGTTATCCGATTGATGTCTTCAGGATTGATTATCATTGCTTCATAGGACCGATCTTTGGCTTGTCTCCAGATCTCAGCTCTACCATTTGACCATCGAGGGCAGGACATAATCATGTGCTTGAAGTTCTGCGATTGGTAGCCGCATGGACAGCTTTGGCTGTGGACTCCGGGTACTTTTCTATATGAAAACTAATGGAGCCCCATGTGCTCACTCCGTAATTGCATCGCTAGACTACTTTGGGCCCTTGTCAGGTTCATGCAAGTGCTTCATTCTTTATTAAGAGCCTTTCAGTCACGTCAGCTCTTCTCTTGATTTGAGGGATAAAGGCGGAACACATATCAGTCTTACCCCTTTACGAACTCGGAGAGCTATTTTGGCGCAGGATATTAAGTGCAACGGGGGAAATGAAATCGGGGATAAAAACTCGGTAACTCTCAGCGGTGTTCCGGAAGAGCGTCCGGCCCTGACTGGAGAGTCTGCGGGGCCAGGTTTGAGATGTATCATTTCAACTTTGAGCTGATTCATCTAGCCTACCTCGCAGACACGCTCCCGACAACTCCTGCGACGACGATAATGGCACTTGCTAAAGGAGGTATATTGTAGTACCAAACGCTACAAAGTTAATAAGTGGAATCCTCATTATGTCTTCGCATATGTTAACCACCGGGGGGTAGACAAACGCCCACAAAGGCAAGGTAAAAAGACCTTGCACGCTGGGGAAAAGCAGATTTCAACACTTCGACAACATCGTCCTTAGTCTTTGGGTCCGAATATACCAGCCAGAAGGGCTTCGACAATACAAGAGTTGCTCAAAACATACTGGAAATTTAGACCCGGTGTGTCTGAAGTTTCCTCTTGATGGGAACATGCAAGATGCTCACACATGATTCCCGAGCTGGGTGATAAACATCCCTATCATTGCGCATGTGCGTTGCGTGAGGCTCAACTGGTGCATGGTATGGCTCGGCGCGCGTGAGATTGATATGGATCCACCGAGCCTGTTCCCATACTTATGTTGTTAACAATCGTGTGACTCTAGGGCCTTGCTCGAGTATGGGACGAGGACTGGTGGATGTGCTTGATTTGGGTTTGGTTGACTGAGGATACAAGCCATGTAGGCTGTCTGGGAATCAAAATGACAGAATAATCAATTCCTTCCTCCGTTATGCACTTCTATTTTCACTTCAACACGAATTCTTCCGATTCACATCAGCATTCTTCTATTCTTAGACGCCGCCTATATTCCTTGAGCTGCCTTACCCACTGAACCCATGCTGCTATACTGACTAAAACTCCATGTACATAATGTTTTGAATGCTGGGCTAGGCTCCTTCAATTCAGTCGCTCTTGACCAATGCCTATCTGATATCCTTTGACGACGTTCGGTTTGTGCCGCAGTGTAAATGAGGAGATGGTGGGGGACTATTCTCAACACCTGTCAGTGGTGTCCCCTACGAACCTCCAGCTCTCACTGTAGAGTCTGCAGAGCCGAGATTGAGTAACAAAGTCCTCACTTCGAAGAGGATTCCCAATCGCTTTTGCGGTCTGTATCGTCTTCATCTCTCAACACATTCCCCTATCACCATTATCATGAAGCTAACCACGATCAGATCAGATGGTAGGGTCGGAGCCCTACTCGTCACCCACCCTTGATCATGGAGCAAAAGCCATCCGATGAGTTTCCGGAGCGTACCCAGCACCCGATACGGAGATGGTGGATTGGATCAAGTCGACCTCGAATGTTACAAAGAAGGGAGATATAGATGAATATGCGCACCTCGTGTGGTTCCGGTGTCTAGGCCTCGCCTGGCTGGGACTGCAGGTTTTTTGAGACTTTTTCCCGCGCACGCAGTTTCCATTGCTACCATTTTTATTTTTTTTGGGTAGAAGGTTCCGTGGAAAAGGTGGCAGAATTCCACGGGTAAATACTGAGCTGAATGGCTATTCATCAAGGGAAATATATCCATGATCTTTCAAGTAACAAAAGAGGATAGGAGCACTGTACAAGGTGTGACCTGGGTCAGAGAGGAGCCCAATGTGCTAGATAGTCATAGACTCAAGTAGTACAATAAAACACACACACACAATGAGGAGATGGTGACGAGATAATAGCTCCCTTAGTCTGTATGCAAATTAGCGACTAGCCGCTACGTTGCTTATTTCCGCCTACCTGCTAGCGTGACCAGGGTAGGCGGATGCCAAAGCCGTTGATGTCGTCACCCGCTTGAGCCGAGTCTACAGTCCGGCAGAATTGATATTGTGTCATAGCTAGATAGCTTCATACGCAATTAAAATCTGATGCAAAAAAATAAGAGAAAAAAAAGGCCGGCAGAAGCATTTTTTGCCTTGAGGTTTTAATTGCGTAAGCAGCTATCTAGCTATGACACAATATCAAAGAAAAGATGACTCAATTTACAAGAGGAGCACTCATGCCTCGGATTTCATTTGCAAGTACCACTGCGAAGCTATGGTGGCTTCTGCTTCACCCCAAGTCAGCCCTCTTCCATGAATAGTCCCCCAGGAGAACATCTCAAAACCCTGATTTATCCAGACATGCCTCCATTATCTATTAACTTTCATCCGCGCAAATTGTGATATGAGACGTCTCTTTCCCAAGTGGAGCAGGCGCCTGGGCTACTCGAACTATGCCGGAGAACACTAACAGGAGGCGTACCACGGCGTCTTCCATCTTTTTCTTCGTTATTTCATACATTAAGGAAGTAATGACTCCTCTATTGAAATGTATAACCCGCTACTTAGTTCATGGAATTATTGATAGAGGGAAGCTTATGCAAAAATGAAGGATAAAAGGATGTCAATTCGACTACTCTTCTATACACAGGTACCAGAATCCTTTTAATCCTAATAGATAGCCCGTGCGGGATCTCCTATTAACAGCAGTAAACAACGCTAGCACAGGGTATACGCAATCTCCATTTGCCAAACACCAGTCGGTCAGGACCACTAATTTGAGTTACGGACAAAGTGAGACCAAATAGAGCATTTGTAGTCACGTGAGTATCAAGAACCTGGCCTACTTGATTGGCCCCAATTATTCCAACCTCCAACATCATTTTTTATTTAGCTATTTGGCTATGACAAAGGCGTCTTTCTTCGCTCATCTTTACAGTGCTAGCTGCACTCTCGCAGTCGAAGTCTTGACGCGCCCAATGCTCTCCGATTTGTAAGGCTCTTGGACAAAATTCTGAATTTCACTCCCAGCTACGCGGAGGATACGGCGTACAGATGTTGAGTCTTTGCCCTCCCCCGAAATTTCTCTCCTTACAGCTCCGATTCGGTCCTTTTTGATCTGGCTCCTGCGCAGCGGGAAGGTTATCAATTGGTGAACACAGGAATTCTATGTTTTTCGCCCTAGCAGTCACAGACGCGATGAGGAGTGGAATTGCTGGACTAGCCGATCGTCAGACCAGCAACGATTCCTACGCGGTTTGTGGCATCACGGCTGCGTCCGGAAAGGAGTGAAACGCAGCATACACACGTCCTAATTACAAATAAATTGTGAAACGTTTTATTCAACAAACTAAGAATATCTGGTGGACAGCCACCTTTATTTTTTGCAAATTGAAGGCATTTTTAACGCCTCAACCCCCAGCACTAACTATTGAAAAAAACTGACCACTGCGCCCTGTCCCGTCGTTAAACACATGAGATTCGAATTCAACGCCATGCCATAATCTCAGTCGCTAAATTGTAGCCAAAAAAAAGGACAGCAAAAAAGGCAATCAGATAATTGCGCCACCAAAAGGAGCGCTCTCCCGCAAGTCTGCCACTAAATCATCTACGTTGTGTATGTACTGACCTAGGAGGTTTTGCTTATCTTCGGTTGACTTTGTGAAATCGCCATCAGCGCCCAGTTTCTTCCTCGCGTTGGTATCCATGTGGCCGAACGCGCTGACAAGCTTGCTCGGGCTGCGCTGTAGGAGTTCCGGGGCTGAATTGGTGTTTTTAGCCGATGGAATCGACGGAGTCTCGGGCATGAGGTAGAAGTAGAAGAATTCAACCAGCTTCAGCTTCACTTCGCGGCTGGTTTCGCGCGAGCGAAAGAGGGACGTACTGGTCAGGAGACCATCGAGATTCTCAAACGTGCGCGTGTTCTGCGGCGTGTCGATTAGGGCACAGACAAGGGTAATAATGGTGGCTGACTGGATAGCAGGACAGTTGATCGGTTCCAAAAGATCGAGTAGGTGCTATAGCGTCGCGGTTAGCAAGAAATCCAGCAAGGCTCGGGCTGAGAGGAGGATGCACATTCATATGTAGTTCTCGAGAAAATAGAGTCCTGCTCGCTGGATGTAACATCAAGCTGCCCTGGATCAAGTTCAAGGTCTGCACGATTAATAGGTCGTTTTGACCGTCATGACTCTTTCCGAGCAGCCGGTCCAGACAGTTTACGAGGCGGATAGCGACATTCCACTCAAATCCGTCTTGTAGTTTGAAAAACTCTCTAAAGGCCGGATCGTATACGAGCTCAGTCAGTGATTTGTTAGGCGGTGTAGCCTCCTTCTTCGGCTCCAGGACAGAATGATGGTTCGCGTTAGATGGTGAGAGACATATTTGTGCAAGGAGCCCTTCAACCTGTCGTAGACCTTTGCGTATTTTGGTCTGATCATAGGATGAGAGATTGTCAAATGATACAGATAGTAGAGCCTCCATTCTGAGAGGGTATAGGCGATGCCGCGCGTTGCACTCTGTATGAATAAGTCGAAGAGCGGAAGGGACTCCGTAATTAGTAATACAAGCTGAGAATTTATGGTTGAATAGAATGTATCCTGATGTTACAAGAGTCCCTCATTCTGAATAGAAGCGGCGTGGTGTTCCAAATATCATGTTGTTTTGGTTGCGAGATGGCAACGGAGACCATCAATGGAAAGAGGGCGGTGGCAGAATCAGGCTGTGACGGATTCACATTTCCTGCGTAAACAAGCATCACCGCACCAACCGTGGTGAAACAGGGCCGAGAAATGAAAGCATTTGTCTGTAAATCCTCATTAATAGGTACTTGTCAAGAATCAAAGCTACGGGCACATTTGCTTGGATGGTTACATTTCGTGAGAAACATGATGGTACTTGGTCTGTTCCACGATGTGCCCATGAGACCCCATGGCGGTAGCCAAGAGGTTAAGCAGCTCAATGTGGGAGTTTGAAATCACCGGCTCAGGCCTTGAACATATGGGTGTAATGCAGCTATCAATCTGCGAATGCAAACAGCTCGGGATAATCCACGACATTTCTCTATCCGCGATCCGCAGGTCACACAATAATGCGGCCATGATCCCTTAAGTGTGGCTTCAAGCGGTCCGCGTCGCGCGACTACACATGTGGAATAGAAGCGGCTGGCATACAGAGAACTTCCTACATCACGCTTTGACAAATGAATAATAATAAGCAGGACGAGCAAAGTCTTTACATACCATCCCTTCGACATTGTCGTTGTGGGTCTACGTGGCTCGACTAAACTCAACCATTATTCTCTTCATCCCTTGAAGATTCGCAAATGTCTTGGCCGTCACGAATTGCTGGCCAGCCGAACCGAAGATCTGCCGAAATCTTCTCGCCTGAACATACTCAGTGCGAGAGCTCTGAATCTAATTGTTTTGGAAAAGACCAAGTCCTCCCACAAACACTCTATTCTACAAACGCATCACATAGTGGAAATTAGCGCCAAGGGAAAATCTTCCATTGCATAGAGGGCTTTGCAGCCTGTATTCCAAGCCATGCAACCCAGATCCCGATATCGCACTCACGACTGTCAGCACACCATCCTACCGACCATTCTGTTTATCCGCTAAAAGTGGCCGAAAACATAAGGCTGCTCAAATTGTCCGTGCATCAGTCATCTTCCATATCTCCACTACCATTTCTCTTCGTTAAATTACTCATTGTTGATTCAAATCCCCGGCTTTTTTCTACAAGACGTGTCTTGTGTTCCAGTCAAGTAGGTCTTCTAAAGAGCTAAACACTAATCCTTGGCTTACTCTTGCATAAACAAATGCGATCCTGCTTGTACAGTTCAGGAGCCCATTGTGGATAATATAGCTCTGTCTTGGCGGCGACGTCGGCCTCGGATATGGTTCTGCATGTCTTATCTGATTTTATTGTCCTTTATCTGTATGGCTGGTCATCTACACATCCAGATCAGATAATGGCTGTTTCGACCCAGTCACAACCGATCCTCACCGGAAGTATGTGGCCAACGGTCAATGATGTGCAATTTTATGCTGGAAACAATGGCTGATATTTGGATTGTAAACTGCCGAACATGCAACCATAGCGTTGCCTTTTGCTAGTTCAAGACTCATCAAAGTATGGCAATAAAAGTAGATGTGTCGATTGGTCTGAATGTTCGTACACTCGGGGTTAATTCAATGCAAAACAAGAGGTGCAAAAGTGAAGTGTGTAATGTGTCTACTATCTCTATACAAGAACATTCCTCATAGAGAACCAGTAATGGGGATCCCACCATCAAATGAAGGGAACCCCCAATTAGTATGGAAAAGAAATGTTGTATTAAATAGTCTATCCTACATAGTTGTAAACTCAAATTGGACATAAATGGATAAACAATATACAAAAACATCGCCAACGTGGGGTTTTTGGAATTGGCCGAGTCATCAAGATAATGTCTCAGCAACAGAGAGATGCACCTCACAAGTAGAACTACTTTCCGACGATATGAATGCCCAGATATCCACAATCCACGTCTACCACATCAAATTCACTCCCACTATGCATTTTTGAAGGTTAATAGAGGAATAAGACTCCTTTCGCAGATAACCACGGAGAATGACTAGCTGTGTTGCCCAGCAGACATTTTTACACCAGTATTAGTAAATGAAGCTCCGGGGATTATCATATCTTTGGCCAAAAAAAGCCATTTGCATCAATGCGAAAGATAGCCATCACATTCTGTAGCTAGGCATCGTCATTCGTGAGAGAAGGTTTGAGGGAAAAAATTGCTCTACTCGTCAAAAGAGAGACAAAATGTCTTTCATCAGGACAAGTGCCTTCAGTCTACCCATGATGAAGTCGCTCGTGCATTCGATAAGGTGAATTATCAGATATGCTTGGTCTTGAAGAGGTAAGGGGTCTAGTTATCTCATAGCACTAAACTATAGATTTTTGTAGAGTCGAGATTGGGAATAACTTTAGTGTTTATGAGTACAGTATTTGTGTTCTTTCGCAATATCACCATGTATACATTTTAGATTCCTCCTTGCATTTTACTGATATAAAGTATCAGTTGAATTCCCCAAGAATATTTATCTTGATTTGTGAGAAAAGAATATTGCTATTCTAAGTACATAAATAATATAGTCTGATATACACCAGTATGTTCAACAAGCATTATGGCGCAGCGGAAGCGCGCCGGGCTCATAACCCGGAGGTCTCTGGATCGAAACCAGTTAATGCTAAGCTGTTCAACAATAATTTTGGATGAAATAACGCCAACAAACGTCATCTATCAAGGCTTCACGCAGACCTTGTTTTGAAGATCGGCCATGCGGCGATTTATAAGAGTCCGACAGATGGTCTAATGAGGTCTCATTCTCACAGCGCCCTCAACGCTGGGTACAACTAATAACTTCAGCAACCAAAAGGTATCCTATATCCCTCAGAGATGCCAGAATAACCAGCCAAGAAAAATCACATCAAAGTTGACTAGCAACGCATCAAAAACTGACGACTTTAGCCAGCAAAGACGAATTCTTCACCTTCCATTGGTGCCGGTGTAATCGCTCAGTTTGCTCTACATATCTGTAATAGCCAAGAATAGCATCCGAATCAAAGTCAAAAGCAAACACATGCAAATCTCCATCTGACAACTTCTCAATCATGCAGCACTCACCATTATCTTCTGGCTCCTAAATCTCTTTCTAACCAAATATCATTTCGCCTCGACGACCAATAAAGAAGTTGCTCCAATTGCAACAGGAGATTGCCTCATTGATTACCCGCCATCACTCACTACAAATTTATGACGCTACGTATACCCGCAGAAGGAAATCAAGTCATAATATACAAATTTGAAGTCTTGGCTTATTGGAGACTGCTGCTCTAATGGGGTTATACATCTTGAGGAAGGACAGGCGGCTGAGATGTGGAACGAGAGGGGGAATAGGTCTCTGGAAACCATGCTGGGATTGACATTTTTGGGGGCTTTTCAACTTTGGATTATTTGTGGGCGCCAAGACCAAGTTTTCGGCTAATTGGCCAGGAGGCCTTCTTTCGTCGATGAGTTAACGGCACTCCACAGCGCCCTGGACGGCACGAAAGAAGTTGGGCTAAGCTACCACACAGCAATCACGCTCTGTCAAGACTATTCTGACATTTCAGCCCGACGTTCGTGAAGGATGTGAAAGGAGGCTAGAAAGGCAGAGTGTGAATTCTCCGAGGTATCCACAAGTCTGCAGCGCCCAGCTGGCCGGCCTCTTCGAACGCTTCAGAAGGGGCAATATGTCTTCGGATTTATTCCTAATGTCGGTATTAGAAGAGCCGCGCACCCAGTGGTTTTTGCGAATTTTCCCGGCTGCCATACACCCGCAAATGGCCATCGTTTCGTTGGCTGGAGAGGGAAGATAATGAAGGGCTAAGGGCTCCTCTAATTGTATGATCGAATGAGGACTCGTGAGGGGTGGTACTGTTTGAGGGGAGCTATTTGGGATGCATAGGAGGGGATATATTACTGGTATAGGTATCCTTGGCCTGTAGGCAGAGAGGACCTGCATGTCCAATATAGTCATAGACTCAGAAAGGACAAAAAATGGATTGAAAAAAACCCCCGATGACTTTTATCACTATCGTACCTATCACTCTCACTCAGTCCTCTAATTCCATTTTACCACACTTGACTTCGACACAACGATGCAGTAACTTCTCTAATTGCCTAAGAGAGCCTGCCACACCACCTCTATTAATTCATCTACCACAATATAGACTTCGATCACAGGTGTCCTCTCCTCGACTCCGTCCTAAACCAAGAACTTTTCCCCAACACCATGCAAGGGCGTAACGCTGTAGTTACTCCTATTACTATCAGTAATAAATTTATTCCCCTAGCAAGCTCATTCAGATAGATAGATGGTAAACTCGGCCAATATGAGAATGACCATGTCATATTGGTTGAAAAGAATCATAAACTCTCCAGTGTAGTCTCTGATTTAAATACAAACCCCATTACTACTGAAAGAAAAATTTCAAAGCATTATAGCTACCGGCCTGCTCAACACCCTGATCCAGATGTATTTTCTGCACATAACATTGATATGCACAAGGAACTGGCTATATTTGTCCGGAAAATAAAGAATGCAAGTTCCTTGTGCACATCAATGTTATTCGTCTGAGTAAATCGAGGTACTTTGTCTAATTTCTCGCCTCAAGGTAAAAGCGCACCCCATTTTTTTCCACGGCATAAATTGAAATGGCTCTGTCAAATACCCATTTGTTGACGCTTTTTTAGTTCTCCTAGAACAGGCATTTTGGGAGATTGGACCTGGTAATGCGGCTCGTATGGAAATAAATTCCGTCAAGCCAAGCCAGTGAGACCCTGTCTCTCATTGACTGGTACGAGCTTGCTCAAAGAACCGAGCTCTCTAGTGATACCTTCATTAACCATTTATACAATTCTCTCCATCCAACCATCGTATATCATCTTC